AGAGAGAGAGACACAGAGAGAGAGAAATATATAGAGAGAGAGAAAGAGAGAAAGAAAGAGAGACAGAGAGACAGAGAGAGATAGGGATATATAGAGAGAGAAAGAGAGAGAGAGAGGGGGGGGAGAAGGGAGGGGCACGTATAAATCCTAGAATACCGACAGTTGATCCTATCCGGTGTACCATTGTGGTATTTTTATCCCATGTACCATTGTGGTATACGTGTCTGTAGTTTTGGAACATCCTATACAACTTATGTCTACACCCAAAGACAATTACAAATTATAATTTGGCCTTCATTACAATACAATAACCGGCTTCATTTGCATACAGCTGCTTTTTAAGCGATCACTTCCTGGCAAAAATCTTGTAAGCCCCCCAACAACTTCACAATCCAAGTGGTAGGCAACTCACTTGGTATCACGCCTGACTAATGTATGGGCTATTCTGGTTCGAATCTCATCACGGGGTGTTTTAAAGTTTGGCATGTTTGAGGTGTTTCCTTGGCTATCGGTCTAGTTGATACGGTCCTATCGGAGATGGACGTTAAACAATCTCACTTTCGTAGATGACCTTACTGCTTATCACATCTTTTTACTAACAGATGTTGATATATATACATATATATATAATGTGAATGTATGTATGTACATATGTATTCTATAATGACTATTCTATGGATTGGACAGAAAGAGTGGTTTCCCTCAATACTGTTTTGTTCTGAGATGAGCTATTCGACATTTGGGCTAGACCTCATTAATCTGTCCTGTATGATTCACTGATAAAGTCGTCGTCACTCACCTCGAAATGTGCCAGCAGACCTTAACTACTGATATCGCGAAAACTTGACCAAGTTTCCTTTTCAAACACTTCTGCTTTTGAGTGCGACTGGTTTCACTCTTTGTGACAGATCTATATGACACACAGGTTGAAACATTTTTTTTCAATCAATTTGATAAGTTTAGATCAACCATTTCGTTGTATTGTTACGAATATGATATTGAAAAGGACAACGTGGTGTTACATTCGGGGTGTACTTGTAAATTCCGAGGACCTCGTTCTTGAAAAAAGTTTAAGTGCTTTTCGCGAATAACGTCTCTGCGGCTTAAATCTGGCCCCTAGGAGACTGGAGACTAGTGCTGGGCGGCTAGTTCCCGATTATTGAAAGCTAGGAATCGTAGGAATCGACTCCGAACCCAATTACCTACTTTCTAATGAAGTGATTTTTTCCGGTGGTAACCTAATTGGCTCCGAACATCATGATTTAGGATAGCCTTGATTTTGGGACACTACGAAGAATCAACGTTTGTTTTTCAAAAGAAATTCTTAAAAGAAAAGATTTTGGTAACCGTTGGGTTTTTTTTTTTAAGGAGTCGGAACTTTTCTTCCGTAGCATTAATCGTGGGGATCGGTTGCGGCATCGACTCTTCGCCCAGCTCTTCTGGAGACCCAGAATATGCGTAGTAGGTCAAGTAACTCCTTGTACCTATTGCGAGGGAGTGAGTCTCATGATTGCGCCGCTTTTTCTCACCGTTGCAAAAGTCAAAATCCACGAGTGGAAATAAAACGTTTAATAATAAAAGCTCATAATGTGGCGAACTCCTCTCTGCAAGAAATAGTGTCATCAGCCATGATGGTCCTAGCCACGAGTCATCTTAAACCTTTTTTCCCCCCTATTTCGTTTAAGAAATATTCTTTGCTGCAGATGCACTGGTTATCGTCAAACTTTTGTGGACGAACTTATATAATGATTAAGTTCTGAATAGAGAGTTACAGATTACTTTACCGTTTGGGTATATATGTTAGATAGATAGATAGATAGATAGATAGATAGATAGATAGATAGATAGATAGATAGAGAGATAGAGAGATAGAGAGATAGATAGAGAGGACTCTCTATGTTGTTGTGCAGCCGATTGTGAACTTGGCCTTATCGGGTACCTCATAGATCGTGCACGAGGTAGGTTCGAATCCTTCTAGACCTTCCTTTGATATTATCCTGCTTTCGAGGAATGACCTCGCCTTTGTCAAAAAAGGCGTAAAACGTCCGCTACATCACGCACAACAGCAACAACCACAATAATGGTAACAACGAGTGCTGCAATAAGAATAACCACTTCCTCAACAACATCACAACCATTCCATGCTACGACAACTAGTACAACAACAACAACAACAACAATACCACACCGACACCACAATGACAACAATAACAATGATAACTGCACCGGCAACGACAATGACGACAACAACAACATCAACAGTAATAACAACAATAATAACAGCAGCAGCAGCCAGGACAACAATGACAACATTAACGACGACAACGACGACGACAACAAGAAAAACAACAACTGCTACAGACAACTACGACAGCATCAACAATAATAACAACAGCAGCAACAATAACAATACCAATAACGACAACAACAGCAATGACAACATAAAAAACAGCAACGACAGCATCAACAACAAAACAACAACAGCAACAACAGTAACAGAAGCAGTAGCGGCAACAGCAGTAGCAGATGAATGAGCACACACTTTCGAAACGACGAGAAGGAACAAATGTCTCAGGAAATTATCCTTTTCCAAGAGAACATGGTGTTTTATAAGTACCTGTATGGCATGATTTATTAATCATTATTATAGTTATTATTGTTGTTATTATTGTTATTATTATTTATCGTTAAATTATTATTACTGTTATTGTTATTATTATTATT